GGCATCATGTTTAATGGTACTATGTTTTTATCATAAATATTGTTACATTTTTGTGAACACAACGTACGTACCACCCTACAGTGTTCTGATATTTTGCAGCTAGCTGTAATGATTTAATGAATTCATGCTGGAAATATTATGACAATGTTTAGCCAAGAAAATAATCAAGTCCAACTCAACATTACATAAAAATTGGTAAAATTCAACAACAACAAAAAAGAAAGAAAAGGAAATTGCGGTCATTGGACATCATATCAGTGGATTGACTAACTCCCACAATACACTTTTGAACCATTTTTGCGGTTAGATAAAGTGGTTTGAATTATATTACTTTGAGTGCCAATGTGGTTAACTTTGAGGCACCCAAATCAAGAAGAGTATGTCCACAATTGGATACGTGACGTGAGGATAGAGATCATCATCCAATATGATTTTTGTTGATTTTAGGTTGCCATGGACATAATTCTTATCATTGAAGTTGTTTGTGTACTTCAAGCCCCTTGCGATTTCTTGAGCAATGTATAATCTTGATGCCATGTGTTATGGATAAGAATATTATATCTCAATTATCCATTTAAAAATTTATTAAGAGATAGAGTCATAAATATCTCAACAGTTCTAAACAGTCAAGAGGTACAAGATAGGGATCACATCCCAACAGAAAGGGAGTTAAATCCTACTGCAGTTGGGGGAGCTCAAAATGCCCAAGCCTAGGAAGATGATTCTATAAATAAGAGCCTAAAGATCTAGGTAAACACTTTTAACCAATTTACTGATATTGCCCATATTGTGCACACACTCACCCCTTGACTATTAGCCTATTGCTTGTGCGCAGTGATTGAGACCTCGACTATAAGTCTAATATACATCTGATATACACTATTTCTAAGCACATATCATATAATATAGCAATACAGTTTATCCTGTAACACCATGATAATGATGATGATAATGAATTTAAAGGTCCAAAAGCAACCACATAGATGTAAAGCAGAAAATGCTTCAATCAACTTTTTTAAATGGAAAAGTGGAAACATAAAATGACATCACAACCCCTACCCGGGATGACAATAATTGCATTGCAACGAATGGGATTCAGTCACTTAACCAGGGTCAATACAATACAAGCTTTTGCATTTATTATAATGTGCACAAAGCAGGACCACAAAATATACTTTGGATGAAATTATTTGAACTCCCATTAAAAATACTAGAAACAATAATGAGGATACCCAAAGATTTACCTGCATCAAGTTATAACTCCGTGATCACAGTCAAAAGCCTTTAAAAATGGGTTTTAGTTCTCATGTGCATAAGCATAAAAGGACTGTTCAGTAGAGGAATTTTTTTTACTAAGGAATCACAATTTTTAAGAATATGATGAAAAAATGAGTTTCTCATAAATGTTACCAAAAAGTTATTTAGGAAATCAAAATATTCACAAAAATATTAGGTTAATTTTTTTAATACTATGTTTTGTTGATATCGTAAAATATTATTGGGAATGTGGATTGGGGTTAATTATGTTCCAAAAAATTATCAAATATTCTCACCATATGGGATTCTCAAAATACCACCTATTTTAAGATAGAATTTTTCTTCATAAATATGAATCTTAGGAATCCGACTTTTTCTGGAAAAAAAAATTTCAATGATCATATCAAACGTGAGTAAATCAAATTCTCAATCTCACTTTCCCAGTATTTTAAAATATTTGTTTTTACCAAACACCCCAGGATGGTAAAACTTTAACACCTTTTTTTAGTTTTAATCTCTATATATATATATAAGGCAAACATTTCTACAACCACTTTAGATAAGGTTATCTACAGCTACTAACCTTTATAACTATAGTTATAACATTAAAAGTTATTTTTTTTCTTTCCTCACTTACTTTTCAGAACCTGTCTGCTGACATAAGAGAGAGAGAGAGAGAGAAAAAAAACAACTTTTAATGTTATAACTATCTACTCTCGGAGAGTACATATTATCCAAAGTGGCTGTAGAAATATTTTTTCATATATATATATATATATATTTATTTATACACACTACTAGAAAACAGGTAATATCGGTCGCAAACTCCATTTGCGATTGAAAAAAGCTGTCGATAAAAGCCTTATCGCAAACGAATTTTGTGACGACATTTTCTTGTTATGAAATCCGACGCAATTTGCGACCGAAAAAAACCATCACAAAACACTTATTTTCCATCGCAAAATGCTGACATGAATACTTCGAATACCATCGCAATTTGAAACGAAATTCTCGTCGCAAAATTATCCATCACAAAGTAACTTAGGAAAGAACCCATCGCAAAGTTTGCAATGGAAATATATTACAACACCGTCGCAAATTTGCGATGGAATTTTTGAAAATCCCATCGCAAAATTTGGATGCAATGAAAATCCCGTCGCAAATAATCACAAGACTTTGCGACGAGAATATATTATAATACCGTCGCAAAACTCAGTCAACAAATATAAAAAAAGGTCCAAAATTTGTGATGGAATAGTGAAAAATACCATCGCAAATTTTTCAAGGAAACAATAATCTACGGAAATTGCGATTGAATGTCCATGCATTTCCGTCGCAAAAATATAAAAATTACAACTGCGATGGAATGTCCATGAATTTCCGTCGCAAAATTATAAAAATTAGAAAAAAATTAAATTAATTTATTTTCAAACTTGTAAACAGTACAACCATAGCAAAAATACTTATGTCTCATTAAAACGAAATAACTAAGAAATTATAATCTCATACAAACTAACAAATTATAATCCCATACAAACCAACACTATGATCTCATACAAACCAACATTATAATCTCATACAATTAGAAAAATGTATCAAAAAAGTAGTCATAAACAAAAGTTTCGAATACATCATGAGGTAGGGGTGTGCGATGAGGATGGGGATGAGGATGAGGAGTGTACAGTCTTCTTCTTCTTCATCATCTTTTTCTGCTTCTTCTTCTCTTTCTTCTTCTCCATTTTGTTCAGTAATTTCTGCAACAGATTATCCGTCTTTTTCTGTTTCTCCTTTTGTTGCCTTAGCTCGGTGTCCATTTTATCCCTTTGCTGCTGCAATTCGGCTTCCATTTTTTTCCCTTTGCTCCTTTTGCTGCTGCAATTTTGCCTCCAATTTAGCAGTCACTTCTCGCATTCTGGCAAGCTCATCTGTAATAATAAGAACACATGCTTAGGTCAAGTGTTTTGTATTTAATTTAAATGGACTAGGGAGTGAAATTTTGAAACAATTAACTATAAATGCCTTTACCTTCGGAAACACTTGGAAGTTGTCTAGAGGGGCGCTTGGTACTCTTCATGATGCTAGCAGATGCTCCTAGGCCAAAAATTCTTCCCTTTTTATTAAATGGCTCAGTCGCCTTAATGAAGAGTTCATTGCTATCGACTTGAGAGGAGGCGGTTCCATCGTCTGTCACTTGTGTTTGTGTCTCCTCCTGGAGCTTTTGGAATCCCTCCTACAAGCAAGAAAAAAGAAAACAAAATATTAATAACCATGAAGTGAATTAAACACTAATAAATCAAACAAACATATGGTAACTAATAACTTACCGCTATTTGTCTGGATGTGTTGTTAAGCCACCGTCGAGTCCCTGCTTTAGACTCTTGTGTGTGGGTTCTCTGAAATGTAGCAAACTCAACCTGATCTGGGGGCACCTCCCCAGAAGCTTGCTGCAAATAAAAATTGGCATCATTAATTAATTACAAGTGCAAAATATAGAATACCGAGATAAAAAATTATGCACACTTACAATTCTTCTCTTATGCTCGGAGATAGAAATGCAGCCGCCAGCATAAGTGCCTTCTTCCATGTGCGCCCTATTCTGCTTGTTTCGGGCGGACCTTGCCTGAAAGCCCTCATCTACGGCCCAATTTTCCAACATGATACGCTTAGCTTCAGAATGACACCAAGAGTTATCACCCTTGTCATACCTCAAATTGTGAATTTTGTTAGCATACCCTTTGCCAACCTTAAATTTGAAAGCAGCTATCAAATCGGCACGGTGTTCGGGCAACCACCTGAAGTTGTTCTACAAATATTTCAAGAGACAAGCGATTAGTGCACATTATCATGTACGAGATTAATTTAAAATGCATGTTGATAAAAATGGTATAGTAACCAAAATATGGGCAAACTTACCAAGAAAGAATCACGCCAAGCATCTTTTTGGTTGGGTGGAACATCTTTCCAAAAACCCCATGTGTGGGTGTAATTTCGAAAAATCATATTGTTCAGGTATTTGTTGGGTTCTTTATATGGGTAGAACCTGATAGTAAAAATAAATCAAAATATTAGCATATAAACAACAGGGTTAAAAATAAAGAAATTAGTACCTCATTGTAACAAAGAAAACTTACTCGGTTCTCCCTAACGGACGAATCCAGATCTTTTTGGTGACAGGATCAACTGATCCCCACAGTGGCTCCTCGGCAAAAGAAGTATCTCCCACACAAGAGGAAGGGGATGGATCCTACAAAAGTCAAATAAGATATCCATTCAAGCAGTTAGTGTCAAAAATTATAAATAAAATATTAATATTTAACTTATTCAAATTGGAGTTAGTTTTAACCTGCTCTGGCACGCCCAAAAGTGTAGGAGGAGTGGGAGGAAGACCAATGGGACCCATAACAGAGTCGGTAGTAGAGGGGGAGGATGATAAGCATGTGGGAGGCATCACAAGCTCTATCTTATCTCCTCTGCTGGCGGTGATAGGACGGGCACGTCCTCTACTGCATGCACCAGTGTCAGGCTTAGAATGATCCATCTACAAAGCTTTATAAAAATAATGTTTGAATATGTACAAAATAATACGCAATACCTCGCCATAAACAAGTTACTAATGAGCTCTATCATAAATAATCGAAGCGCAATGAAATGTACGGAACAACAATCTTAATAAAGTTTACAAGTCAAGACAAATTGATAAATGTCTTTAGCATAACAAACATCAATAAACATATGGAGGATGATCATTCGGATGAATCCTGTTCTTCTACTTCTTCTTGTGCGCCTTCCTCTGGAGTCTCATATTCGTCCAATTCAGGTTCACTATCTGAATAAGTCTCTTGTTCGTCATCATCTGATTCCTCATTCCCCTCATGGATAGGAATCATGTCTACCTCTGCAGCAGAATCAAAGAGATTGATTGGCACATCATCCTCTACAATATTTACAGGAAGTAAATCTCCCACATTAGCTTGAAATGGTTCAGATAATTCATTTGTTTGGGACTCTTTGGAGTCCGGGATAATATTTCGAGCTTTGGTTTTGATAATTGCCATCCACCCTTGTGGGGCTGTAGGGTATGATGTATAATAAACTGTTCGGCCTGCTGAGCAACTATGAATGGGTCATATCCCACTGTATATCTCCTTGACTGATGAACTTCAATGTTGCCATATTTATCAACTTTTTTCCCACGTGGAGTGTTATCAAACCAGTCACACTTAAACAAAGTCACCTTATTTTCCCCCCTGTAATCCAATTGAATTATGTCAAGTAGCTTCCCATAGTAGTCGTCCTCAGTACCGTAGACCAGGCTACCTCGAACAGATACACCATAGTTACAGCAAGATGTATTTACATTCGCTTCTACGGTTGCAAACCTGTACCATTGATGATATATTTTCTTAACCGTTTGACAATTGTTGCAGCTCCGTCAGCTAAACTCCATGCAACATCATGTGCAGCTGATGTGTTCGCAACAAAGTGCTCTCGAAACCATACAGGAAACCGAGAGGAAATGAGCTGATCAAGTTCGGAATTTGGCCAGCTGGAATTATTGGAGCAGAACCATTTGGAGAAGCAACTGTAATAAAAAAAATGATCATTATTCTTATCCCCTCTTAACCACAGACAGTCCTAACATTTGGCACTAATCTAAAAACAAATAAAATCTCACTCAATGTAGGGAGCAACCTCTGAACAGTTGTTTAGAATGTACCACTCCGCTACTTGCTTATCCCTTCCTTCAAGATTTGACTTACTTGTCATTCCTACGACACGTCCTGGATAATTAAATATTGATATTTGACCACTCGTATCACCGCCATCATCGTTTCGAGGGGCTCCTCTCCATCTTGATATGTATTCAGTGGGATAATAGTACGATGCAAATTTACTTGCCTCTTCGATGAGATACTTTTCAACAATTGAGCCTTCAACGTAATTTTGATTGCTGATCTTATCCTTCAGTGTTTTTAAAAATCTACAATCACAAGAATTGGCTACTGTTATAAACTAAGCATTATGTGGCTCAACTAAACACATTAAAAAGAATCTTACCTCTCGAACGGATACATCCATCTATATTGTTGCGAACCTCCAATCCTTGCCTCGTAAGCCAAGTGAACAGGCAAATGTTCCATTGAGTCAAAAAAGGTCGGAGGAAATATCATCTCCAGCTTGCATAGCATTATTGGCACGCTTGCCTCCAGATGCCGTAACCTTTTAGCATTAAGCTGAGAAGCACAAATCTCTCTAAAGAACATTGACAATTCAGTGAGTATACTCCATACATTGGCAAATCTCTCTGAAAGAAAACATGACAATCGTGACTTTTCATCCCGAATAACTTTGCCTCATTCATGTAAACACACCTCGACAACTTTGACGCATAACCATCTGGGAGTTTTAGATCTTTAACCCAGCGCAACAATTCTAATTTCTTGTCCTTGTTCAGTGTATATGGTGCTCTAGGTTTGAAAGTCCATCCCCTGGTGTCCTCAACCAAACGCAAATCCGGCCTTACGCAAATGTTAGCTATATCTAGTCTTGCATTTAGAGTGTCCTTCATTGATCCTTTGGTGTCCATCACAGTGTATAGAATATTGCAAAACACGTTCCTCTCAATATGCATTACATCAAGGTTATGTCTTAACAATTGATCTTTCCAATACGGTAGATCCCAAAAGATGCTGTGTTTGTTCCAATGGTGATCTACGCCATACCCCTCTACTTCATTCAAAGCGAGTGTCTCTTCAACACTTGGAATATGCTTCACCCTCTCCCATATGTCATTGCCACTTAAAGGATGGATTGCACCTGACCTTTCAACTCTCCCTTTCTTGAAGGCATTTTTATTTTTCCTATACGGATGGTTGTGTGGCAGAAATCTCCGATGAGTGTCAAACCAACAAACCTTGCGGCTATTTTGCAAGGTAAAACCGACATTTCGTTCTAAGCAAACCAGACATGCAAGTTTCCCCGATGTCTGCCATCCACTTAACATCCCATATGCAGGAAAATCATTTATTGTCCACATTAAGGCGACCCGCATCGTGAAATTCTGCCTCAATGATACATCATACGTCAGAACCCCTTCACTCCTCAACATCTTCAACTCATCTATCAGAGGCCTAAGGTATACATCTATATTCTTTTTTGGATTGGAGGGTCCAGGGATTAATACTGTAAGGAATAAAAACTCTCTTCGCATGCACATGGAAGGTGGGAAATTATACGGAGTCACAATCACAGGCCAACAAGAATAATTTCTACCCGTTTGTTTGAAAGGAGCGAACCCATCCGAACATAAACCAAGATGGACATTACGAGGATCTGTTGCAAACAAAGGATTCGCCTCGTCAAAATGCATCCAAGCTTCGGCATCGGATTGATGCATCATAAATTTGTCATCCCTATGATGCTCCCGGTGCCATTACGTGACCAGTTGTTTGTTCCAAGAATACAATCTTTGAAGTCTAGGCACGAGAGGAAAGTACCACATCTTGCTAAACACTTTGCGGCTTGTGTTCTTGCCATTCCTCACAACATTGTATCTGTCATGTTTACAAAACTCACAGTTAGTGCGATCAGCATTTTCCTTGTAATACAGCATACAACCTCTTGGGCAGCAATGAGTCTTTTGACATCCT